ATTATCATTATTATTTTTGTATTTTATGGAAGGGTCTACAGGGTGTTCAGGGTCTCACTACTAGATCAGACTCTTAGTGATCTGCCTGTTTACAGCCTCTGAAAAGGTGGGATTACAGGCCCACGTCACCATGCCCAGTCTCAATTGCCCTTTCAGTAGGCCCCAGGGGCGGGGCTGACACAGCAGGCCCAGTGATGGAACCCCAGCCCCTGTGCCTGCTTGCAGGCTCTTTAATCTGCTGAGCTGTTTGGCAAATGGACATATTGATGATAATGAAAGTGTAAAATATGGTAGCCAGTAGTGGCACTTTTTACCGAGCTTTTGAACTGTGACTGGTATGGTGGGGGAACTGGACTTTTCATTTGTATTTAAATTTAAATTATTCAACAATCCAGTGATGTATGTGGCTACCATAATGGACAGCACTGTGTTATCAGAATTGTAGGTAGTATACGGCATAGTTGAGACATAGGAAAATAATTAGGAAGCCATTGAAATTAGTTTAGGCTTGGGATGACCAGGTAGCTCAATGGATTAAAGCATCTGCTTAGGCATACACAGGGACCTCAGTTCCATCCCCACCATGCCAGCCCCTCCCTCTGGGCACTGGCAAGTGCTGTAATCCCAGAACTTGGGAGGCTGAAAACAGGAGAATCACTATGTGTTTGATCTGTGTAGTGAGACTCTGTAGACCCTGTACTAAATACTATCTATCTATCTATCTATCTATCTATCTATCTATCTATCTATGCATGCCTAAGTGAAAGATGATCAGAGTTTGAATTACAGTTCACAACATTTTAGTAGTATTTCCTGAATCCAGCAAACTCTTAAAAATGAAATTAGTTTTATTCTCTTGTTGATGGTAAAATATAAACTGATTTGAAATTATTTGGTGACAATGGCTACGTTGAGTTCTCTGGAAAGCATTTCACATTTTTCAAATTAAAAAATAATCTAAAAAGAAGTGGCGTTCTCTAGTTGCATTTTATAGTGTCTGCTAGATAAGCTTATTATCTCTCCAATATATAAATAATATTTTTATTGTGACATCTGATCTCGGACAATTGGATAAAGTTTAGAAACCTGTAGTAAGTAGTAAAAATGAAAATGGATGGAGTAGAGAACTTTGATGCTGTAATCAGTAAACTCTGGCTGCCATGTGATATTGGGACATGAGGTACAAAGTAACATAAAATTATTTAGATTTTGGTTTTTATGATGCTGTGTTCCATATCCAGAGTCTTGAACATCTGTAACACACTCTGCCACTTCACCCTCCACAGCCATTTACAGTTTTTAAAATTCATCTTAGAGATTAGTAGGTTGTATTAAAAATTGTCCCGAAAGGATGGATGTATTTATTTCTGGGAGGAGAGATCTAGAGACTTAATCAATTCCATTTTGCAAATTAAGCCACAGCTTCCTATACTGTATGCTCCTAGAGTTTATTATCTATCTTAATTTCCTGTCATTGCCCTTTCCCGACCTGCTATCCATAGAGATTAGCAGATTTTTAAATGAAAAACGAGTACCAATTTTACTTCTTATTTAACAATAATAATAATTAGGTACTTAATTCATTTATGAAACAGTTTTATTATCTATTATATCTCTTTTTACAATAAATATTTTGCAACACTTGGCTACTACTTTGAAATAAGATTCAAAGTAACTACAGCTATCTATGCAGTTATTAAAACAACCAAAATCTGAATTATAATATAAAACAGCAGGAAAAGGGAAATAATTCAAAATAAAGAAAAACATTAATACATAAATGCTGAAGAATGAATTCCCATGAGAGTAAAATGAGAGAGATACTTTTGCCAACTATGCCAGAAATTGGTACTAACACTGGGGGAAAATAGTAATCAAATGCCTTAAATTCATATTAATAAGTCACAAAATTGTAAGCAAAATAATTTATCTCTAACACCACTATGCCCATTATATTTATTTATTTATTTATTTTTTATTTATTTGAGAGAGAGAGAGAGAGTGTGTGTGGTGTGTGTGTGTGGCCAGCTCAGCCCACCAGGGGGCGGGGCTGGCTGGCATGTGGT